TGACAAAAAAAAAAAAAAAAAGAAATAAGCAATTAAAAACAAACAAACAAACAACAAAAAACCCCAACCCACTAAACCATATTCTTCAGGACCCGTCTTTTGAACACCTCCAGGGATGGTGCCTCAACCCCTTCCCTGGGCAGCCTATTCCAAAGCTTAATAACCCTTTCGGTGTCAAAACTTCTCCTAATATCCAACTAAACCTCCCCTAGCACAACTTGAGGCCATTTCCTATCTCCTACGACTTGGGAGAAGAGACCGACCCCCACCTCTCTACACCCCCCTTCAGGTAGTTATAGAGTGCGATAAGGTCTCCCCTCAGCCTCCTCTTCTCCAGACTGAACACCCCCAGCTCCCTCATCCTGTCCTCATCAGACTTATTCTCCAGACCCCTCACCAGCTTCGTTGCCCTTCTCCGGACCTGCTCCAGCCCCTCAATGTCTTCATCAGCCACACTGATGGTGACAGCGATGGGCATGGAGGGCTCCAGAAAGGGGTCCTGACCAGGCCCAGCACATGCACTCACTTCCATCTGCAGCTCTGCCTCGAGGGGAAGCACTGATCTGCTTCCTTAGACCTTTATGAGGATCCACGGCCATATGGCATTTGGGTGGACGGGGTACCTGGTGGTACCTGATGCCACTGTCCTGCTGGCAACCCCTTCTCTGCACACATGCAGGTCACACTGATGAGCCTCCAGGGCTGCCATGCTGAAGAAAATAACCTTCGTGCCCAGTTTGGCTTGGCAATGCTGACCAGAAAACTGAATCTCTCTCAAAATCCAAGTTTTAGGACACAAAATCCTTGCGCGTTCACAAACTGGAGGGATGAATACCGTGCAAACTGGCCATGGATGGAGACAATAACACAACAATGACCCTTTCCAGTCCCCTTGGCGGGTAATTTGTCTATCTTCTCATCTTCTCTCCAGCCTATTTAATTTGCATGCTTGGTTTTACAGGGAGATGTTCCTTATAATCTGGCACGGACATGTGCTAAAACCCTCACGTTATTTTTATAATAGTATTTTTTAAATTAAGATTCTCCCCAGTGGGACTGTGCACAGTAGTAAAGTTAAACACCCACATAAGTGATAGCAGGATCAAAGACCATGAATCACAGAGGTTTCCTCGCAAGCACATTTAGTAGGATGAATAATTTTATATATACTTCATCCTAAAAGAAAAATCAATAAAAAGACACATTGCTTTAAAGAAATAAAAAATCTAACAGTAGGAGAGGGCAGAGATCACCCATAAAAAGCAATCTGTACAGTGACAATGAAGAAACAAAAAAAGTTAATGATTATGTTGTGCAGATGGAAAATGCTAACTGCTAAGCCAAATTAAATAAGATCTGGAAAACCAGTTGCACCATCTCTTGCAATTTAATTTACTCCTCTTAAAATAGAAGGCAAGATAATGACCATTTGGGAGAGCTTGGAATCTAAAAATGCATTGGTATGCTCACTCCGAGCACTCTCTCACTATTTTAATGGTGAGCCCACCAAAAATGTTAATCCTGAAAAAAAACCCCACCACAATAAATGGCTGTATCTAGGCACAGATTTCCTCAGAAAAGCTGGAGAAGACAGGAGGAGAGGAGGAGAGTGCTAATTTCTTACAACCCTGAAGGGCCACATCTTGCCTCCGTGGCTGCTGCTGACAGCCTCCACGCCTAACACATTTTTGGTGTCCTCTGCTGAGGCTGCCAACACAGTATTAATTTTTGGACACGCAGCAGCAGCAGCACCACTCTGGAAATAAGGCTAAACCCACTAGAGTGTATTACAAAAACCAACTAACTTTGAATCCAGCACCTGCCTCTGACGGGAACCACGCGCTTCAGTGAAAACCTGCAGATTCCATTATCAGAGAGCTGCTCCTCACTTAAAACATTACAGCTCGGGTTGAAAACAAATTATTCTGTTACAAACAATCTGAGCTGCAAGGAACCATACAGAAGCACAACCCCCACACCTCGGAGATGCAGAGCGAGTACCAGGCGGCAGAGCCTGCATCATTATTGCAAATGAGACGTGTAAAGCCTCCGTTTACTTCTTGTTTACATCAGTAAATACCAGGCTTCACAGTGGCACAAGGTACGTTGGGGGAATCTCAACTCCCAGTAAATTAATCCGGGTGTGGAGGAAGGGCAATCACAGGATGCGTTGAATTAGCGCATCCTTTGCCTACAGAGATTTCTAAGAAGTCGTGACACAGAAGTAAAAAACAAGTCTCCCGAGGTGGATCTCACAAGGAAAAAGGATGGTGAGAACAGCATCCTGATTCTGCTCAGCTGCATCGTGCTGCCAGCACACCTTGGATAACCTCAGCCCAGAGATCAAAATAATTCTACTTTTAGAGAGACATAGGTAGGGCTTTAATTAAGAACATATTGAATTTGTTCTTTAATTAAGAACATAGTTCCATGTATCTAGAAGGTTTCTTTTTAAAGAAACCCTGGTGATGTCTTCTCCTGTGCTTTTGTACCTTCTCAAGCATATTTACCATAACCAAACTGTGTTACAGTGCAGCCCTGTGCTACGAGATGGCGCAAAGGTGAGATGAGTCGCATAAAGCTCACCACCACGAAGGGGCTTCTGGCTCCATTCCTCAAACCTTCTCCCAGCCACATCCTCCTTTCACTTGCAGAGCTCTCCAGGAAAACACATAGCTTTCTGCTAAGGTCTTATAAAGCAGGCCAAGAGCAGACACCAGCTGGTAGATTGGCTCAGGTGATTTCAGATGGGCAACAGCTGAAATTTTCCCAGGTATCAACTGGGAGATAGGAGCTAAAAAAAAGTGGAGAACTACTGTTCTGCCCCATTCAGCATGCTCCTAGCACTGCTTGCACCCAGTCTCACGCACCCGAACCTCTTTACCACAGCAAAGGGCCAAGTTGCTTCACGGTGGTGCTAATTAGAGTGGAATGTGGCACATGGTAGCCAGCAGAAACAATGAATGCTTCATAACTCTTTCCATGGCTTTACTTGAGATTCCCAAGGAGAATCCCTGTGCTGTGAAGCTGTGCTGGTTCACAGGGGCAGACTGCCTCTTAAAACCATCAGGACCATCCTTTCTCCCACCAACAGTTGTGTACCATCACTGTGGCAACCGCAAATTAGGAAATATTAGGAAAACATTAGGCTTATTTTAGCTCTATCCTCATGCCACGTAGCACCTGGAAGGGAGGAAGGGAACAAGCACCATATGAGCAGTCCTACTGCATTTCCACCCTGGAAGTGTTCCACAGCTATTTCTGAGGCGACAGGTATGACACCTCAGGAAACATCTAATAGATAACGTGTTTTCATTTGTTCAGTGTTCCTGGTACAAAATGAACTGTGTGAAACGTTGGGCTAGACCTCTCTCTAGCCAAAGCTCCTCTTTTTTTACTCTGAGGTGGAGACGGTCGAGACCTCTCTCTAGCCAAAGCTCCTCTTTTTCACTCCGAGGTGGAGATGGTCGAGCCTAAATCTTCAGGGATGTGAGGGATGGCTGGAGCACAAGCCTTGGCTGCGGTGCCCAAAGCTCCTCTTTTTTTACTCTGAGGTGGAGACGGTCGGAGCCTAAATCTTCAGGGATGTGAGGGATGGCTGGAGCACAAGCCTTGGCTGTGGTGCCCAGCTGCTGCTGCTGCTGCCCTGCTGCCTCGCAGGCTGAGCCAACAGCCATGAAATGTAATTTCTCTACCAAACGCTGGTGTCACAATCACTTGCTCTTGAAACACTGCCTGGGACTTCAGAAGCATATTAAGTAACACAAGAGCTGCCCCTGAAGAGGTTCCCAGGAAGATAAACTGATCAAGCGAGAGCCGAAGCAGAGGTGAGGATGAAGGGATTTTATTTGATATTTGCTTCCAGAGGCTTAAATAAATGCTTTTTAAAAACCTAAAACACGATATTCAAGTGTTGAATCCCAATGCTTTTGGCAAAAGCTCCCTCATCTAGGAATGATTTCATATCAGCCAAGCTGTTAAGCAGAGGTTGTCATGGCAACAAGTTATATTCAAATGATATGGCCAGAGATATACTGTATTTAGTGAGTTCTTCATTTGCTGCACATTGGGAACATGTCAGGACTAAATGATATTGCATAACTTTGTTTTGTTAAAAACAAACTGGCTCGCTGCCCCTATTTTTCTTGCAGCCTGGTGTCCAGTCCCTCCTGGGATGCAAAGTTTCACGCACAGGTCCGAGCACTGCTGGTTGCTGCAGGCTCCCGTTCATTGTGGTCTTCCTTCAAATCCATGAACCTACCAAAGTCAACCAAGGTATGCAAGCCCTAGGGAGAGCCAGGAGGTATTATTGCAGCTTGCTGCCTGAAGTTTACTCCAGCAGGACCCACTTGATTGGCTGGAATAGCATGCTCCAGGAGGAGACCCTGAGGTGTCTGCTGGTGATGAGCCATTTTTGGGTCAGTCTTTGGAGCTTCTCAAAGCAGAGGAACCTTTCCTTAACTTGTACAATTGACAGAACCATTCACTGGTCCAACAAAGAAGTGCAGTTCAACTAGATCCTTTCCTTCCTTACTAAAAAAGTTCCTACATATGCATTGTGCAAGTCTGAACAAAAAATCTATACAATTACATCTGTCCATGGGCATCTCCTAAGTGTCCATGACCTCCTTGTAAACACAGGCCTCTGATTAACTTACCATCTCTAAGTGATGCTAGAATAAATCTTAGAGACAAAGTGCATACTGAATTTATACATCTGCTCTTTTAGCTGTGGAGCTGTTAAAAAGAAGAATCTTGTTAAAAAAACAAGAATGTTGTTCCACATTCTAGGAGCAAATACATACTCTTTTGTTGTTCCACATTCTAGGAATAAATACATACTCTT